GATGGGCTGCGCTTGATGGTGGAGGGCTGCTCCCGTTCATTGTCAGGAACTGAGGGACTGATCACGTTCCAGCACCGTGAGAGAGCACTGAACGTTAGAAATAATCAAAGGGAATGTCCCAAAATATGTTGATTTGGGTGGGAAACCAACGACATCCAAATAAAAATCATTTTACACCCTCATCTCTAATTTTTAAAAGTAAAAAGTCCCAGCTTTACTGAGAACAAGCATTTGCATTGATGGTCTGCATTTTACTTATTACATTTTACCACTTTGTATAGAAATTTATGCCATTGATCCATTTTCCACTCTTTTTGGGCCTTATTTGACTGGGCAATTTTCCACTCTTATCCCCCTTTTTGGAAAGAAATTTTCCCTCCGACATCCAAGCCAAAACCCAATTTTGGGACACTGGGGAGTGCCATTTGAAGACAAATTGTTCACTGTTTGACAAGACAATGTTCACTGTTTGCGGGGCATTCCACGTCAAGTGAGACAAAAAATGACCATTTTGAACCTCACCTCCTCCGATTTTTGCGAAACTTTGTGAAACTACTCATCTATATGTGAAAAGAAAGGAGACATGTTTTTGTCAAGATATGACGTCACGTTTCCGAGATACACGTCATCAAACATTGACGTAGGCAAGGCACATTATCATCTTTAAAGCGTCATAACCATTGAAGTTTTAGACATATCACCATGAGACAAAGTGTGAAATGGAGGGAATAGATCAGGCTTTAATTTGAGGATAACAATGTTGACGTTATTAGCTAATTAATGAACTAAATTAAAATTCAAAAAATAAATTTTGATTTTCTGAAAAATGGGTACCCTTCGATTTTGCTGATTTTTACATATTTTATTCTCCCATACATTAGCTACATCATATAAAAAATCCAGAATGGGCCGACGTCTACGTAACTGTCTTTTGGACTTCGTAATGTCTGGCACTCGCGTGTTTCGTTTTAGCAACCAAGGAGAGGCGCTACCCGGAGATGCTTCTTTCTACCCAAAACCAAAGCAAACCTAGCCTGACCTGACGTGACCTGACCTAATCTAACACGCGTAAATATGTACAGCCCTCACGGCAGTTGCAGACTGGCCAAATACTACTTAGATACCTACGAACATTAGCCCTCACGATATTTGCCGGCTGGCCAGATGCTACTTAAAAAACGAATGCGTGTTAAAAGTTAAAACACTTGAGGCTGACCGGCCACGAGCCAGCCACCTTTAGATTACGAGGTGGGTACACTCGACACACTAACTACTAAGCCACGAAGATAGCTGGTCATCGCGGAGATGTAAGGCAGTTTTTTTTAATGATGCAATTGTGCATTCTCCGGGCAGCGCCTCTCTATGGTTGCAAAAAGGAAATACGCCTGACTCTCCCAGCGCTAGGGGAGAAAGGCCCGGTTTAGCAAAAACGGTATAAAAAACGGAGTTTGAATTGTAGGTGGGGCGGTGGGGAACTTTGGTTTCATGGCCCTAGATCAATATCTTCAAGATCAAATGAGTTTAATCGTGATGAAATTTGCTGTAGTGACTATTTTGCGTTTATACGCCCATAGCTCTAAGAGTTACCGGCCGATTTTCCTATTTCTTCCTTTATACGACATTTGTAGTGTTATGAGAATCTCTAGTTAATCCAACCATAAATTTGGCAGTTAGTGGCCTGCTAAGATTAACCCTCTAGTGCCCCCGGTATCATATCTGTAAGTCAATTTGCAGAAAATTCGCCTGCTAATCATAGAGGTGAAAATTGTTGAAAACCCTGCTGTATCAGAAGTGGTACGTCTTGGCAACCACCTGGTGGCAAAATTTTTAAGTAATGATTTCTCAGTTTCCCACCAGGTGATTTTGAAGAGGGTCAGTTTGTCCTTTGCCGAAAATCAATTTGAGATGCAAGTGTAAATTTAAGCATTTAGAAAACAAAAAATTAGTTATTTGGAAAGAAACTTGGCATACTGTGAGACAAATGTTCAACATATATCATAGTATGTTGCAAAACATCGCAACTTTTTCAGGGTCAAAGATATGGACCCCCTATTTTTGGGGATACTAGATATGATACAGTGGGCATAGCACTCCAATATTTTCTATGAAATTTTCGCCGCTGCGACATACGGTGTGCCAATACCATAGTTTTCTCAGGTGATAAGCATTGCAATGGCCTGTGAGTCATTGCAAACGACGATGATACAAGATGCATAAATTTGTGAAGTTCGCACCTCTTGCGCCAGATAACTCTATTTCGCTCCAGACTTAAAATGTCATAACGATATTGGTACGCTTATGCCGCCTCTCATCCTTGTCAATCTTCCAACATCTAGCTTTCTATGAGTGGCCTTGCATGCCTCATACATCTCGACTTTTCTAACGCTCATAGGAATATGGTTTTGCAACTGTTTGACGATGACAAGACAGACTCCGGACCGAAGGGCGTGGTTCCTTTGATTTCCTATCTAAGAAGTAGGCAACCATGCACTTCTGCCAAGTTCCAGCAGGTGCCTGACACCTGGCAAGCATTTTCACTGCCAGGTATGTCATTTGTTGTCATATATTGACATATACCGCCAACTGTGGTAGCTGAGTGCCACTGAACAAAAAGGATTTATAGGTACTAAATTAACATGGATACTACTTTTGTACTGACCATAGAATAAAAGTTGCGACATTGCGTAATGCGTATGCTCACCTCCATATGAGGTCAATGAATATTGTGCAAGTTCCTGCCGATCGGTGCAGTTACCTGTACCTGTGTTGTCTGACACGTACAACGGTTATTGCACTGGTCAGTGCGCGGCTGTTATACTGACGCCGATGACATCAGGACCGCACGACCAGTCAAAGTACTAACTGACGATTCACAGGTTGAGAGTTTCAGTCACCCGAGATTGTCCGGCTATCATGAAGATAAACCAACATCGTCTTTGGCATTGATCCCGGTCCGTCGGCAGGCTGTCCAGCATTTTGCATCAGAACTGCTTCACTTCAACCAATTACCGCGAGCCAACTGTAATGTCATCATTTCTATATCAAGTATGCATAACGCATCTACGTTTGAGAAGCACGGCCCACATGTCTGAATTATGCAAAAATTGCACAAGTGCAACGCGCTGTATCGTGGAAATTGAAGGAATAGAAGGCACTCGTAAATAGATGCCTATGATTAGCGTTGTTCCCTAAGCACCGACTGAAAGGACATTTTGATACAAGAAGGATGCCAATGAAATATTAAGAAAATGTTCTGATAAAAAGTGCATAGTAAAGGATGTCTTGTTGGCATTTTACACATTTTAACTGCCACTTTTATCACTGAAATTTTTAATGATATATATTTTCTCATCTATGTCTTCACTTCCTTCTGTGTGGTCTGATACCACTAAAAATTACCAAGTGGAATGCCCAATGTATCATATTTGATACAAAATTTATTTCCGAAATTTGAACTGCGAAAAAATATTTGACTCCAGATTTCGAACAAGGGACCCAAAGTGAATCATATGTTACAAGGTGCTAATTTTAGGAACCGTGGAACTATGTGTGGGCATTAGAGGGTTAAGATGTCGCCGGCAAAGGCGGGGATCGGCCGACGCGGGAAATGTTTCAGTCACAGATTGTGTTTGCACCCTAATAATTCAATTTTTACTAGTTGCTTTTCGTATTTATTTGACCATAAGATTGCCTGTACATTTTTAAGCCTTCACACAAAATTTGACACGAATCAATCATGATCAGCGGTAAGAAGCGCAGTGCAAAGATGGAACCGTCCCGCACCGGCACAGTCTACCATTCAGGCGGCAACGGCCGGCGCCGGCCGCCGCGCCGCTCCGGCAAGATGTTTGACTTTACACCGCTATTACTTGAAAAGTTGTGGACCGATTTACCTATTGCTTGCACGGGAGGATTTGCAATTCAATTCTGGATAGATGCTGAAAGTTTGACGTTAATATAATAATTATGGCGTGAGTTATTGGCGAAAAACAGGTGGGGTTGGCGAAATCCGCCCCTTCCATCGCCCGTGCTACGTTGCACTACTTGTACTATATCATCCAAAGTTATCGTTGGCCCACTCTAATTTTCTCAGCACGTATGGCTTACGTGTAGTGAAAGATAATATCTAAATTTGAGCAAAATCGAAGGGTACCCATTTTTCACAAATTAGATTTTAAGAAATTAATTCAAAATAAAATAAATTCAAAATCACCAAAAAATGTTAAAAGGGCCAAATTTAACTAGCATAACCCCTTATGTACACGTTTCAGTTTGTTTGAAATTAATAGCTTCAAAAATGTTGAAGCTATAGATCTTTCAAGATTGCAATACACGTCCAATTCTGCTAAAAAAGCAGAAGTTTAGCGGCTTGTATCTCTGTAGCCCGAGGGCATATGACAAAATCCTTTGACCCTCAGAGGTTTCACCCAATAGCCAACAAGTATACCAAGTTTGAACAAAATCGCAGAGGTGGCCGATTTTGGCTGTCCCGGTTGACGTGGAATGCCCCTTGCTCAATAGGTATACCGCCGGTGGAAACCGGTCATGGATTCAAATGCCCATTGTTGTATTTTTGATGTTCTCCTGTCAGAAAAGGCACATTTCATTGGCAAGGTATGCAATAGGCATTGCATTAGTGAAATGCAAAATCTTAATAAAGGCAGTTGTTGGCACCGTTGACGTGCTGTTGTGCCGCGTGCGCGCCACCTAGCGAGAACCTGGGTAAGCTTTAGTTGTCGGGTCGTCCCGAGGGACGTCGGTGATGGCCCGAGAGATTATTGGTTTATCGGTGGACTTATTTTTGGTTTTGTGCTATGTCATTTTAGACACCCACATTTTTTGTCAATTCTTGCTTGTAATACTTTTGTATTTCGTCCAGCGTTTAATATTTCTCCTTAGTATTATTAAGCTTGTATACTGTGACGTAGGGTCACGTGACCCACTGACATGCCACGTTGGAGGCCAGGTCAGCGGAGGGTCAGGTCAGCCGGCGCGACGGCCGCCATTCGCGGCTGGGTTGGGTCGCGGCGGTAGGAGGCGGGCCGCTGCTGCGATTTGCCTGTTTTGTTTGTTAGTTTGTTTGTTTGTTTTTCCTCATTGGTCAGCTGGCCAAGTGTTGTTTGTGTTGAGATATGATTGTCCAACTGTCTGTGCCATTTTATTGTATTTGATGTTCATCAATGTCAATGTGAGTCCAAAGTAACTGTTATTCAATTATTAAAAAGCAGTGATTTATATAATCATTGTCTTATAATTTATATCATTAGCCAAGGACTCCTGTGTGTGTAGAGAAGCAGCTGTGTAGGTGATTATTTGAATTGGACAAATTAATTCGTCTATGATGTAAGATAAAAACACCAAAACCACCCAAAGTTTCGTGTTTTTCACTTTTTCAAGGGTGATCACCCTTGAAAAAGTGAATAACACGAAACGTTGGGTGGTTTTGGTGTTTTTATCTTACATTATATGTAAGATAAAAAAAGGGTGATCACCCTTGAAAAAGTGAATAACACGAAACGTTGGGTGGCTTTGGTGTTTTTATCTTACATTATATAGCTGTGTAGGTGTTTACATAAGTTCAGCACTGCAGCACTCCGTACCCTTCAGCTATTTCATACAAGAGCTGGAAATGAGAAATCTTCCAGTTTTGAGAACCACCAAATTCCCAGTTGCCCCAGAACATTAAACACAATATTTTGGATACATCAACCAAAGCATGCACAGTGTATCCTGATGCATTAAAATTTATTAGGTGTCTCAGTTACAAGCTTCTGTAGTAATCCAATGTAATATAAATATGCTTGAACTGTAATAGCTTCTTGTATATATGTAGCTTCTATTCTTACTATAAACTCAATCATGAAACCTATTAAGTCGGGCAGCGTGGTTTAAAACTTATCAAATGGACGCAGGACAAATTTTTACATCACATAGCTGATAGCGGCTAGCGCCATGTGGCAACAAATCATGCACTTTTAAATTAAATGGAAATGGACTATGAAAATGACATATAATAATAATTACCTACCTCAGCTAACAGACTGAGGTATTGAAACATAACAACTAGCAAGTGCAACTTTGATTTTTGGTATCATACCAATACCTACAGCCTGTAGGCAACAAAGTTAAAGTATCCGGGGGACAGGGACTTACCTCCGATGATGACAGTCATTCAACTTGTGTGCCAAGTAGAATTAAGTTCTTCAAGCTCAAAGTTCAAACTCAAAGCTCAGTATTAGTCCTTTGAGTCTTGGTTTGACGTTGAGGGCTCATTTTTTATCCATGTTGATGACTGCGGTTTACAGTTTTACACAGCTTTGATCTTTGCTATAGGAGCACAATGCCACTGCACATCAAGTGCCACTAGAAAACACACAAATTCAGGATGCTTGACACATCCCAAAACCACAAAATCTCACAGGACCCCATATATTGATATAGTCCCAACACTACCTTTTTTTTTTTAATCGAGCCACCAATCGAGCACGGTCGAGCACGATTGTAGAGCGCGCACCATTCGCTTTGTTTACGTTCTCTATTGTCTACAGAGATACATCTAGTGACATCTACACGCCATTGATGAAAGCTAGCCTTTTGACGCTGCCCACCAGGGAGCGTCAATATCACCTCGGACGGTTGTTGCTTGCTTTATGCCATTGGGCCTGGGGTTTGGGCCAGGGACCAGATGGGGACCCGGGACGGCCGACGGCGATACAAATAGCCACAGCGCTGAGTGCTGTGACACCACAAAACTATGACCTCTTATTAACCCGCGCCGGGACGGTGCTCCGCGACTTCCGCGCCGGGCCGGGGGGGGGATGTATGAACACAGCCCCCCCCCGTCTAACTCGGCTCCTGGGTCACGTAGCGGCACGCGGTAAGCGGCATTCGAAAGAGCGTCAAAAATAATGACGGAAACACTCTAGTCATTTTTGGGTCAGGTCAAAAGTCAGGTCGCCAGAGGTCATCAAAATCAAATGTAGTCCATTTCAACAATTTTGGAAACTGCCAACGGCTAACTCCGGAACCAATAGAGCTACAGCGCCGCTGAAAAGCCCATTCGATAGCCCTTTTACAGACCTTTCTGAACATTGTTCTCAGATTTGACCTCAGGTCAACGGTTTAGCCTCCAAAGGGCAAAAACTGTAAAAGTAGCAGTTTTCACGAAAACTGCTTTCCGGCAATAGCTTTTGACACAACAGTGGCACGACATTACCTACTGTTAGCAGCATCGTGTTCCTCTCGTCGAGACACGTCGAAAAAGCTATTTGTTGACTTTGAAAGGTCATTTTGAAAATTTGACCTCAGGTCAAGGTCGTGACCTGACCGAAAAGGGTCATGTTACATATCAGCCGATCCGCCTATCGTCGAGCTGAATACATCTGACGTGTTTTCATCGCTCTAGTACGTTCTTATCAAAAGTTATAGCCAAAAAACTGTTGGTGACCGTTCATGACTTGAGATGACCTCAGGGGCATACAGAGGGGTCACAGGTGCATTTTTCTGATTCAGTGTGTCATGTTTATCTATGAACCAATGTTTGAGAGGGGTTTGAACACCATTCGTCCAAAATAGGCGCATTTCAATTTTCTCCCATTGTGCACGATGGGACCGCGGCCGGAATTAGCGCGACATTGTTGGATTTGCCGACCTTTCCCAAATTTAGTTAGACTGTGTCACATAGTTCAGAAACGCCATGGACCACGAATCTGCAAATATTTTTCGTCCATGGTGTACAGCGTCCACGCCACATCAGCCCAAACGCAAAGTTCCGTGACAAGCACCGTAGACCCGTTTTCGTACGGATAAAAGTAGCACCTAATGTAGGCAAGAAAAATGTAGATTAGACGGCTTTATCAATATTTTCGGGATCTAGCCTGATAGTTTAGACCATGGGCTTCACGATGGAATGAAAAACTGTCAGCGGAATATACAAATACGCTTCAAATATTAAGTTTTCTTAGATGCTTTTCAAATTGTGAATTAATTTTGCTGTTATAGAAATTCTGGAATGCCGATAGGTATAAAGAGTCCCGCTAGGTCCCACTCTTATCTTAATGGTGTTTACCAACCAATTGCCTTTCAGAAAATGTAGGTATAGTTTAGCTGCCTCAGCCTGCCACAGCGAAAATGAGCGGCATTTTTTTTTTTTACTTCAGGTCGCCGGCGCTGGCCGTGCGCGGTTACCGCGAGCCGGCCGGAAGCTGTGAGTAACAGAACCTCAGGAGTTGTACAAGTTGCCAAGTGCCAACTATATCTAAGTTTTGTCCGGACATATCCGTACCTGCTTTCGGAGTGTCTGATACCTACACTTTTCTGGCCCGTACTTACTTTGTTATATAGTCATGTAGGCCATCAGATTCCCATCATGGTTTTGGTGGCATACATTATTTGCTTATCGGAATTTCCGGTGCCGTCATGACCTGACCTGACAGGTGTTGCCATCTTATCACGTGACCGAACCCAGTCGAGGTCAGCGCAGGTCAACTTATTAATTAACTAATTAATTGATTAATTAAATTACTAATGATTGATTAATTAATTTTTTCAGAAATTGCTTAGAAAGTACACCGACTATAGTCGGTGTACTACAAATGGTATACCATTTGTATGTATCTATCATTACTTTCATGTGAAAAGCGGGCACAAAACACGAAAAAGTACCGATGTCGCGGGAGGGGGGCAGATTCTGCCCCTCTCCCAGCGGGGCGTGGGTTAACTTTGACCTTAACCTGCTAAGTCGCTGTCCTGAGTGTCTAGGAACCTTAGGCCAAGGTCATTCACGGCCTCTCAGGTCATGAAACTGGTCACCAAAGATCACACCTATTGAAATACTAATAAATTCGGCAGATCTTTGAGTTAATTGTCGAATTGTCTTCACACATTCTCGTAAGTACCCCAGCTGCCAGCTGAAATGACAAACTCCAGCCCACCAAAAATCAGCCAAACATTGGAGCGGTGCTGGCGAGTGACCTTCCACGTCCCTCAACTGTAAACAGCCGTACTTTAGTCGACCTGTCGCTGGTCTTGAGCCTGGTAGTTTGGGGCGTGCCGCGGCTGAGAGTGGTTCACTTTACAGGCCGAACGAAGCGCCTTCGTTTTACTATCGAGGTACACTGCAACTTGTGAAACTACTCTTTTGTGCTGTGCTCCATCGGGATGCCATTACTAGCGACATTTATCCTTCTAGTGAGTGTCAGAGCTGCTCAGTCTGCTAGTGGTGGAAGCGTTGCCGAAGCTCATTTAAATAAATCAACGGCACAGGATAAGGAATGGGAGGTGACGCCTGTCTCAGACACTCCTCTCGAAGGAGCTGACGCTTCGACCGTAGCGAAACCACTGATAAACGACTATCTGATGACTGCTCTGGGCTCTCTGCATCAGCTGCTGCATGACACTAATCACAGGCTCGCCGACATCTTCAGTCGCCAGGAGAGCCTCGCTGAAGCTCTGGTTACCATCTCCAGTCGCCAGGACAGCTTCGCTGAAGCTCTGGACACCCTCGCCAGCCGCCTGGACACTGGAGCGGCCGCCCGGCGTGGTGTGGTGCTGGGAGCGCCGTGTCGCGCGGACACCGAGTGCGGAGATCTGCGGCCAGACGCGGAGTGCGGCGCCGACGGCCAGTGCCGGTGTGCGGAGGGTCTCCAGGAGGTGGTCGCCGGCCGGTGCCTGCCCTACCCGCGTCTCTCCGAGTCGTGCCGCCGGGACGCAGACTGTCTGGGCGCCGTGGCTGACTCGACATGCACTGACGGTGTGTGCTCCTGCCGCTGGGGACTGGTGGTTGACGCCGGCGCGTGCCGCAAGCCGCGGCTCTCTGAGCCCTGTAAACTCTCTGATCACTGCGACAGTCAAAACGCAATGTGTGACAACGACTTTCACTGCTCTTGTCTGTTCGGCTACTGGAACGACGGCAACATCACCTGTCGGCCCTACCCCCGACTGGCAGAGTCGTGCAACAGCACCGCTGAGTGCGAGGTCCTCACAACCAACGCCACGTGTGTGAAAGGCAAGTGCGCTTGTCCCAAAGGATTCTGGGAGCGCAGAAATGACGCATGCTCTCCAGGAGCTGGGTACGGAGAGCGCTGTGACCAAGAAGCTGAATGTTTCGTAACATCTGCAAGGTTCGAGTGCGAATATATACGAGGCATTTGTCAATGTGCCGCCACGGGCAAGAACTCTGGCTATTCCGGCATGAAATTTAGAATCGGCAACAGCAGCAGTTGCCAGGACGGAATTATCGAGATTTTCGACACCAGGAACTACTTCTGGCGGCCCTACACAGTGTGTGGTGACCTGACGGACACCGATGCTCAGGTGCTCTGTCGCAGTTGGGGCTTTCCTCACGGCGGGACTATAAGTCAGCGTCATGCTATCCCAGGGTCAGGGCATGCCGATAGAAAAATATCCTGCTCCGGATCGGAAGAAACAGTTGACGACTGCCGATTGTACACACCCGACTACTGTTTCAGTTCGGAGACCCAGCCCACTAGCGCTGAAGTGAGCTGCGCTGACTAAGAGATTGCTTCATGCATGAATGTAACAATGTACTAACCGTCAACGTGCGCCTGGGAATACTCAGCCAAGAAATGTTTTAAGACGCCATTATCAGCTTCAAGTGAGAGCAACGAGACATGTTGCAGGTCTAGCTGTTTTGCAGTAATGCTGGTCGGTAAAGGTTGCTGTGTGCTGTTGTCTTGTGTTTACTTTGACTAACTTATCGCCACATGCGAATAATGCGTCATATATTCAACACCGTATTCATTAACGGTCTTAGCATTAGCATCATTATTCAAGTATAATATGTATTTATAAAATATTTTTGGGTAGGATAATGGGCACTGTGTATATACCAACTAACCGGCTTATGTACGTCTCAGCTCTCCCACCTCGCTCCCGCCCGCCACAGTCAGACCATGATGCCGCTAGACTCGGGATTTCCAGTTTCGTGTTGTTGTTACTGGTGTCTCTAGGAACTCAGCGGGAGTGGCCGTCTGTTGTTAATACCGTCTAAGAAGTAATGACTGATGACAGACATAACTAGCTGAATGGTGTTTTTGGTTATTGGGGGACACCCATTTCAGGGTGCCCGCAGAGAGAGAGAAAGGATGTGCCGCCTCAACTTCCATGGTTCGCTACGAGACGTTTTTGCTACGTACTACATATCCTTATTGGTAATTAGTTGTCATCTTTTAAGTGAATAGCTAAGCGCCCAATCGGTACTTATCTATGCAATTATTTTCGAGCTTACCTACCGTAATTTGAATAAAGTTATGTTGTTAAGAAGCGTGATAAGTGCACCATCTATTGTCATTTAAGTCAAATTAATATTGGGATATTTTCAAGTATGTCTAAAGTATATGTTACAAACGGCGTCATCACAACTTTATAAGAAGTCAGCTTTATAGGTATTTCTGCGCTTTGGAAGTAGCAGCTCTGGAATTTCTTAGCCCGAGAAACCGGTCTTTCCAGTTGAGCTGACAACCACCGACAACAGCATCTAGCTCCAACGCTACCACACATCACATACCGTATACGTCAAGCGTCCAGACGTTGCCACGCGACTGACGACAGGTGGCCAATGATCCGCAACGACTGAATCGTTTGTCGGTCCCTGTGACAGCTGTGAGAGTCACAGAGTGCAGATTGCACCGCCAAATATACATACACCCGACGTTGTGATCTACATTGGTAGCCGAGATCAAACCGTCCTTAAAATCGCTTCACTATGTAGTGTCAGACACGGAAAAGGGCATTTTTTGTGCAATGCTTTGTGCCGTGGATTTTGAAAAAAAAGAGAAAAAAGGAAAGAAAAAAAGAAAGAAAAAAAGAAAGAAAAAAAAAGGAAAAAAAGAAAGAAAGAGAGAAAGAAAGAAAGCAGGCAAAGGCAAGGAAAGAAGGAAAGAAGGAAGGAGACCCAAAGGCTCGTTACATGAGGTTAGAATACCGCCATGTCTACATCCATGCTCCCTCTTCTGGCCCGATATGAAGATCATCTGTACCACTCGACTGAATACTGAATACACGGAAGGTCTTTCGTCTCCAGCAGAGCTATAGGTATAAGCCGAAGTGCTTACAGAGCCTTCCGTTTCTGAGGGAGCTTTGTAAGCCGCGGTGCTTAGCTGCGCACCGGTCGGATTACAAGGAGCAGCGGCCTTGGCACATGCGATGTGGCAGCGCGGTCAGTCACTACACACAGACACAGACGAGTTTGGACCCAGCATGAGCGGGCTGTAGAGAGGTCTGGTATGCACTTCAACCCGCGCGGGGCTGGGGGGTAAATTTTACCCCCCCCCTCGCGAATTTTTGCAATATCTCAAAAACGGCGGCGCGCAGCGCCGCCAAACTTTTAGTACCTTTTCTTACATCAATTTGACACGTTCCCTGAAAATTTGAGCGAAATCCGTCGGAAATTTTTTGAGAAATTGACGTTTTAGTGACGTCATGTTCGCCATTTTCGCCTCAAAAACGGTAAAATTTCAAACGCCGCTAACATCTTCATTTTTGAAGGAATCAAGTCGTAACAAAAAAGGTTATACGTAATTGCCTTTTGTCTATCAAATGGCAATCTCGGTTTTTGAAACTTTTGGAATTTGGCCCAATTTTTTTCTTCTTCAAAAAACTGACTTTTTTGGGAAAATAATTATAAAATCCAAAATTTTGAGTGTATCGAAAAAACCGGAATATATGTCAGAGAAATGGTCTATGTACACCTACATACCAATTTTTAGAAGAATCGGTTCAAAAATGTGGAAGTTATTCAAGATTTTATGACGTCACGACACACAAAAATTTTGAAAAATGATTTTTTGGAAGTTCTAGACCTCGTACGGAAACAAAAATAGCACCATTCGATTTGCCGTAAAAAACTGCATCAGATAGACACCTTTTTAGGCCTTAACAACCAACTTCAAAATTTGATATCACTTGACCTGACCTTGACCTGACCTCGACCTGAAATTCATCCAGAGGTGGTCCATATCACTTATTGAGTGTGCCTATTAAATTATATGAGTAAAATGACCCATAAAACATGTGTCGCACATGCCCCTTTCTATATTTTGTTTTTGGTGACCTGACCTGACCTTAACCTTGACCTTTGAATGATATCGTATGCAACGAATATTGTCTTGGTAGCCTAAGAACACGTTTTGGGCAATCAGTCTCCAGGAGATAACAGGGGGGGGTAAAATTTACCCCCCCCCCCAGCACCGCGCGTTCGGCTGGAGACCCCAGCCCCGCGCGGGTTAAGGGTGTTTAGGGCAGCCAGATCTTCAAAATCCGTCCATATAATTACGAGGTTTGAACGCTTAGAAGATAAACGTTCAGTGAGTAGGCATACGTCTTTACCATTAGCTTTCTTTTGAATAAAGTCGCACACATTCGCAATATACCTACCTAACTTATACATATAGTTCCTTGCTACAGTAAGACATTTGGGTGAAGCCTTTTTCGTCATCGTTTTGTCTCTCTTACTTGGATCCTTCAGGGCTTCATGGTCGCATCGAGTCTGGTTTAGGTATAAATTTATCGGCTCATGTGCTTCCTTCTGCGTGCTTTCTTAGAAAAGAGCTTTGTCAATACCAGAAAATATTCGGCACTGTCTTGTTGATGCACGCTTACCCAATTCTATTCAAGTGAAGCAATGGGCCTTACGCCTTAACCAAAATAAGATTGAAAAACAAAGCAAAGTTAGCCACGGATGTGGCCTTCCTCCTTTTGTACGTATTTTGGTTTCATGTCCAAGAGGCAAGAGCGGACCTCGTGTCAATGCTTAAAGTTAAATAAACATAAAAGCAACATTTTCATTCGCAATGCAAGCCGTCGTCGAGTGAGCAGCGATATATATAGGAAAAGTGTGAACCGTCTGTGTATACCGTGTGTACTGTCGACCACAATCACATTCTTGGGAGTCAATATCGTTATGCACTATATACGGCTGGCCTAACTGGCCTGAGTGCGTGTCCACCTTCATGTATGTGTGGAGTCAACCCCACGGTATATTGATGAGTTTCTCAGAAAGGAAACACTCGAACAAAGACTTTGGTTTATCAAGTTATCCGAGTACACGGGAGTGAAGCACGCAAAGAACGAGCATGCTATATGCTTGTTGCCTTATCAACTAAGTAGGTGCAAGTACAGGGTGTTCCAAAAAGTGAGCCCCCTGACAAATATTGCTTAATGCTTATATCTCCAAAACTCCAAAGGAGGCTCCTTCTTGGAAAGAACGGTCAATTTGGGTTCTAACAGGCTACCTAGTGTGGCTCTGAATGAATACATATTATGTAGTTAGGATTTTAAATGACCTTTTCCTCGATAATTAATTGGAAATTCAATAAAAAGTAAATATTATATTGTTTGGCAAATTTTCGAACAACAGTTCATTCTCATGGAGAATGAACTGTTGTTCGAAAATTTGTCAAACAATATAATATTTACTTTTTATTGAATTTCCAATTAATTATCGAGGAAAAGGTCATTTAAAATCCTAACTACATTACATATATCAAGATTTTCCTCGCTAGAGCACTGCATACTATTCCTGAATACATATTACACCGAGAACGAACAGAACAAGATGTGTTGCGAGATCGGGTGAAACACGGTGACGGCGGCAAACGTGGGACGGCCGCTTGCGGTCTAGGGAGATATTCCCCCTGTAGTGTCAACCTTGTTTAGTAATCTCTTGACACTTGCCAGACTCCAATTCTTATGCGGAAACTCGATGATCATTCGCTTAGCACCCCACTTCTTTTGCAGGTGGAGTTGCTCGATGAGAATCAAGTCTTCTTTCGGAACATCCGGTTTTGGCGTCATTTCACTGCTTCAGTGACACTCTCGCTTAATAGCGATATTTGGAGTGGTAAAAATACTGGTTGAACTAGTTCACCCATTCAGTTTTCAATTTTTATAATAAAAATTCACGCGCGAACAATGACGAAACGTACATGAACTGAAATATGCAGTCAGATGTGAAAAATATTCCGAACATATCCAATACCGCTAAATGTTTCACCAACAATTTGGTATTGAATTGTGCTGATCACAATGCTGGCCGTGTTGTGCAAGATATGTAACGGAATTACGACCTATCCGAATGGAATTTGATTGCTCTTTCTAATGAGCCGCTTCCCAGAGCTGTAGGAAGCACGGCTGCAGAGATACAGCTGACCTTAGTTGGGGTGCTCACTTTTGGAACACCCTGTATAAGAACATGGTCGTACTGAAATATGCGGTTTGGCCTTTCACAATTGTAGTACATATATTGTGTACATTCATGGCATACATACCTGCTTTTTATAACTTGTGTGTGTATTGTATGTACGACAACTGATCTGCATTTAGTAAATTGATCTAGCAAATTCCTAAAAAAAGAAAAAACACAAAGATCATTTCCATGGAAATGGTACCGAAGCCCTCAGATGGGCCTGCAGGTTCGTCAGAGGCTTTGAGCCTCAAACGTTTACCCTCGTTTGACAAAGATGCGTAGCTATGCAAAATGTATGATTTATTCACCATGGAATATAAAACATGTAGGCAGTTTTCAATGAAAGGATTCATTCTGCAGTAACAAGAGTGACCAGGGCCAGTCTGTAACAGCTTCCCTACAATCATCTCGGGCACAAGCTCAAACGGTCAATAAAACACAGCTGCATTCATTTCACAATCAGCTTGGTATTGCACTCTGTAACACATCAACACACTCTTCATTCAACACCATTCGGCGAGGTTCATACTTTTTTCGAACTACTTCGCCGAGACATCAAACGCTTCAGACGCCATGACAAAAACTGGTCTTCGGGGAACTTTATCCGTTTCGCATCATGTTTCAAAAGATGAGGGCTAAAAGATGTTTCAAAAGATGCGTGTTCACTTCCTTCTGCCGAATGCTCCAAAGCTCTGCTGGTTCGAGCCGCCGGTGGTGAACCCCTGCTGGGAGGCGCCGAAAGGACCGGAAGACTGCGAGCCGACGCCGGCACCGAAACTGGACGAGCTGCCCGGTCCGACCAGCACACTCTGTGGCAGGAGACGGGGGTCAGACTCTCGTATAGGGAGGGACGGCGCCAGGACGCCTGGCGCAGAATGCCAGAAATATTGCCAGAATACAACCAATGTGTGACCGGAGCCACACGTCAGGTTTAATGAAATCCGTTATACTTATCTTGCAAGGATATATCGTATTTTCCCACTCATTGTTTCTGTAGGCATACCTGGGTCAATATAATTTACATTTGGTACCGGTATCAATATCACCTACGTCCTACATTTATGAAGCGTGGTGTTAATATCGGAAGTTAATTACTCACATTGGCGTTTGACGACACAAACTGGTTGCTGCTGCCTCCGAAAGGTCCGCTCTGCTGCGCCTGGAGCAGGTTGGCACCTCCCGATCCCTGGGCAAAGCCAGGCCGGGGGAAGAAACCTCCTTGGCCGCAGCAGGGCTCGGCCAGGAGCGCGGCGAGCAGCGTCAGAACCACGGCCACCTTCATCGTGTTCGAGTCTGTGGGCAATGAAAGGGGTAGATGGGCTACGGGTAGGGAGGGGAGCAGGGTGCAGTCACTCGACCGACTTGCCACCAATACCGAGCTAGTCGTTAATATGTTTTAAAATAATGTTTTCTGAATGCATGGCGTTTTTATTGCCGTAATTATCAGCTATTTGCAAAGTTGCCTGTAGCAAGGCTCTGGTACCTTTCTCACTCCACCACACGGTCGGCCGCGCCTGTTCTCGATCTCACCTGTGTTGGCTGAGGGTTCGCTCCGGAGCTGACAGTCGACTGGTGGGGCTACCGGCCAGCGGTGCGGTTATATACGTGCACCACTCGGTCGCACGAGCGGGGCGGATTTCCCACTCGCGACCCGTCAGTCCACCAGTCAGCGGCGCACCGCACCGCTGCTGCAGAGCACGCTAAGCACACAAAGACTACCTGTTCCGATCATTTGACGTCACCAAATGAGGAAGGGTTTGGTACGGCGAAAAACAATACTGCTTCCAGAGGCCAGAAAGTTCCGGTTAATTTCATGGCTATGTATTTACGTTCATTATGAGTAAGCATGGTCTGATCGGATCACGTCATGTCGCATTGTTATTTTATCTAAATTGTTGGAATGGAAATCGTGGTAAATCATCCAAGTGAGGGACAATTTTCAGAGTGACAATTTGATGTAACTGAACGCGTACCATGAAGAAAAAAACAAACAATTATGTTGTCAAATCAATTCATTACCATGGGAAAAGAAAAGTTGTAAAAAATGTCAGATTATTTATTCACCCTCTAGAATTACAGTTGGGCAGCCTGAGTAGCCACACGCTTTGTTATAAAAGTCAAAACCGAAAAAAAATTTATTTGATTATCTCTGACCAAAACATAAAAGTAAAAAATAACAGGGATTTTGGAATCATTGTGCTTGTCGTGACCAGTTGAGTTGAATCGCATACAATTTTCGTCGAAGAATGTCAACTTTGGTGTTGATCTCAGGCCGAAGTCAGGTTGATACAATATGAAAGTGAGTGACCAATATGATTGGTGAAAAAGCGCGATGACTTCAAATGACCTCACTGGCATCGTATGACGTCACTCAAGGCCGAAATCACATAATTTGGCATAGAAACATACAAGTAGTGTATCATCCAGAATTGGAGGATCAGAAGTATGCGATAGCATGCTTTTGCACCCGGAAATTCCCATTGGTGGGTCGCTGAAGAAAAGTTCGGCCGAGCTTGTTTGTCAGTATGTATGTGAGTATGTGAGTTTGTCTAAGCTTTTTGGACCTGGAGTCAAAATGGGCGGACCGATCGGGACGAAAGTGGGACCGTTCGACTCGTCTCCGGCGAGGTAAACTCTTGGTGCTGGTCTCGGTTTGCTCGGTGCTTCGTGGCACATGCTATTCCGCTTCAAAGTTTTGGTGACACGTTTTTTTTTGTCAAGGCTTCAGGTCAAACCGAGGTCACGAACAAAGCCACACTGGCGGGACACTGTCACATCGGTAACACCTTGAACCAGTTTCCAGGGGGGTCACCGTCTGCGAGGGGTGCAGGCTGCACGTGCTGGGGGCGGAAAACCGTTTTGACGTGAGGTCCTCTGGCTCAAATATTTTTTTTGAGCTATCAACCTCAAAATCGGATCAATGATAGTCCTAAGCAAGGCCTCCAAAATAGTGCACATTTGGTTGAGCTAAACTCTGTGGTGCATGAGCTATGCACGTGCAAGCCAATTGCACCCCTTCGTACGTTGCCACGCCTGCAAGGTAAACGGCAGCTATAACTGGTTCAAAACTTGCAGGTCACAAGAAGAATAGGTACATTGAGTCACGACACTCCGGCGAGATAATATCCAAGAGGTGCAAGCTGCGCGTGCGGGGGGCGGATAACGGTTTTGACGAGGGATCCTCTGATCCCGGGAAACGTCGAGCTAGCGACACAAAAGTCGGTACACTGATAGAACTAGACACACGCTACATGATGTTATGAAAATGACTGCACTGGAGTGCCTGGGACCAGAGTATATAGATCACCCCTGGGACATGAACTATGCACGTGCAGTTAATTCATATCTTACTTTAGGTATATATATCCACATCAATCTCACGTGCTTCCAAACATTTTTGGGATGTTTCGGTTGGTTTCAGGCAAGTTTCAGGTTCAGTCCGAGCTCAGTCTGGGTTTCGGTAGTTTGGCCCGGTGTGTGCCGTCAGTACCGTTCCTCCAATTCTGGCCCAAGGCAACGCAAAAGTGCTGCCGGCATCTAGTTCCAATATCTTAAGTGCTGAAGATGGGAGATCATCTTTTACAGGGATCAATAGGCCAAATTCGCAACTTGATTCTCGCGATAAATTATGTATGTTGCAGGCTTTTCATGACGCCATAGGTGAGCACGATCTGAACTTGGCCTGCTTATTCCGTCCCAGATTGCACATCAGTACCTATCGCACATTTCGTTTGAGACTTTTTCTTTTGCATCACGCACAGTTTCCACGAAACCAGCCCTTGCCAGTTTTGAACCAGTGCCCAGAGGTGTAACAAAGTGTAGGTCCACCTGCGGTACGTACGGAGATCTACCTAACATTCATGCAGCCTGACCGCCTGAGCCAACTAAAGCATATGATACAGACGGCTCTCAAACTGAGATGGATGGTCTGAACGAAATGGGGCTATGGGTGGTCCCAAATACATAACATATTCTTGGTGGTATCAACGTGTGCCAAATTTTAAGCCATGACAAAGTTTGGTTGAAATATCTTGATTGTGATGGAATTTATTTGAACTTAACCCGTGCCCCACTGGGGTCTGCGTATAACGTGCCCTACTGGGGGGGGGGGGGTGGCTCTTCATAGCCCCCCCCCCTCCTAACTCCGAAGTCCGAAACTACTGGGCCGATCGTCAAAATTCAAACGGTGTCTGGTAGCCCCGGAAAAAAGTCGAAGGAGACCTAATTTAATTGACCTCGAGGTCACCAATGATCCGTTCATGACTGGGGATGCTCTACAAAGCCCCTTTCCCGTTTTTCGGCCATATTTTCCAAACCGTTAAACCGCGCCCCACTGGGGGGGGCTATTCATAGCCCCCTCCCGTTTTTCTGCAATAACTTCCAAACCGCTTGACATATCAACGCTAAACTTTCAGTACCTTTGGCTGCATGAATTTGACACCTTGTGTCAAAATATGAACTTCGTAGCTACTATAGGTCGGCTGGAAGTGACGTCAGAGTGACGTCATGTTCGGCCGATTTCGACGCAAAACATTGAACTACGGCAATTGCTCCCAAGAGCTTAGTTTTTAAGCTAGATCCAATTTCTTTGCATTAGAGGACTCAAAATAGATTGCGCTATCGAACTGCTATCTCTGATTTTCAAAATTTCGAAAATTTCGAAAATTTTATATAATAAAATTCAAAATTTATATTTTCATTTTTTCAAAAAGTTTTTGAATTTTCGAAGAAAAACAGAATATATGTTATAGAACGCATGCTAATGACTAACTCTAGCAAGTTTAAGCTAAATATATTCAAAAATTGTCAAGCTATACTTATGATTGCAAAAAAATCACAATTATTAATTTTTCAAATCAATTTTTCAGTCCGTATTTGACATCGTACACCAATATAAATAGCACCATCGTGTTCCTGAGCTCTAACTGCATCAAATAGACACATTTTGTGTTGAAACATTTTAACTTTAAAATTTGCCTTTTTTGACCTGAAAGTGACCTGAAAGTGACTAACCTAAGCAAAATTCGACTCAAAATGACCTCGAATGACATAGACGACATCAAATTCGAAATATATGGCCTAAATGGACCATAAAAGTTGCGTCACGTGACCGACGCATGATATAATATTTCGGTGACCTGTGATGACCTGACCCTGAGCTGAAAATCAAAGTACAAGTTTGGTACCCTCAGGGTATCTAGAGCATCTGTTCACGAGTGTGTATACCAAAAATGAGCATAATCTGACTTGTAAGACGGCGGCCAGAGCCCAAAATGTGAACAAACCAAAATGCTAATAATTTTTACTTTGACCTGACCTGTGACGTCATCAGTGACCTTGAGGTCAATGATTTTATGTTTCATTCGACAGTGTTTTCCAGGGCTATCATACGCCGTTTGAAATTTGACGATCGGTCAAGTATTTTCGGAGAAAGGAAGGGGAGGGACTCGCGTTATGGAAAATACCCCAGTCATGCGCCGGGTAAAGATATTGATGGCCTGAGCTTAGTAACTGCGATGCGGCCACTCGAACTAGAGGTTCGAGTTCGCTCGATAGTTCCTGGACTGTAGGTAACACACATAACCCTCGCCGGACCTATTGGTTTTCTACATACGCGCCGGCCGAGGGGGGGGGGGGGGCGGGTACGACCCCCCCTCGCCGTTTCGCCCCTGGTGGAGCTAGCGCGTCGCGGAAAAAACGAGCGTGTGCGCCGTTACGAGACGCAGAGATTGGTACCCGATTTTAAGGTCCTAGGTCAACCGGTGACCTCTGAGGTCAGGTCAAGTGCCCCAAGGTACGGTTCAGTTTTTGGTGAATAACTTCGCAAAAAACGGCCGCAGAGCGCCGATTTTGGCAGCATCGTGTTCGTCTCGCTCAGGCGCGTCGAATGATATACTTTTTGTCCGGGTCAGGTCAACTTGGGGTGTTGACCTCAGGTCAAGGTCAGGTCAGCACCCCCAGGTCACGAAGTTGATCGAAAAAGGTCATATCGCATATCATTCGATTTGGCAGGTCTTCCTGAGTCCATTGGTGGCTTTCCCGACTCGCTAGCTCAATTTGATCAAGAGTTATTGACGAAAAACTAATATGACCTTGATGACGTCATAAATGACGTCACGCAAGGTCAACATTGCAAAAGTGACGCATCTATCCTTGCAAGGAGTGCATCAAATCACGATTCTGTGTGCTTGAGATAGTTGGAGATCGTTCCCGGCGCCAGAATAGCAGCTTTCATTTTTCCCCATTGACTTATAATGGTGAGGTCACGAAAATGACCTGACCTCATATGACCTTTAGGAAAAATCCGAGATATACAGGTTGTGAGACTCATAATGGATACTACATCCTGCAAGTTTCATTTCCCTGTGACATCTCCTCTGGCAGTGAGGGCGTTGCGAAGTTGCGACATCTGAAGACCGTGCAGAGGTTCACTTATGACGTCATAGGTCAGTGACCTGACCTGACCCAAAAATGCGGTTGGTTTCAAAAGATCTGGCTTGAATCAAAGGTCAGGTATGCCAAGTTTCAGCTCTCTATCGCCAGCGTGTTCGGAGCTATCGCGAAAAAAAACCTATGGGGGCGGCACCCGCCCCCCCCCCCTCGGCCGGCGAGGGATAATACATAGTTATCCGTACCATGTACAGGCTTATCGTCACGAATTTATATTCTATCAAATAGCTTTTCTCGTAATCGTGTGCGATTTTTTGGCGGTGAAACATATCCTCCCATGCGTTGTGTTTTCAGGTGTGCTACCTACAGGCTGCATCTGTAGACTTGTAGGGAAATAAAATATTAAGAATTCACAGATTTGATAACAATGTCAAGTCAAGATCTTGTAAGCTTATACCTCTTAGAATCACATGCACTTTGTCGTATCCCTACACCATAATGCTGTCTTCAGAATGATGCTCGCATTATGGAGTCACCTGCATGGTCCAGTTCGTTCATCCCCACTTAATGACACGTCTCATGTGATGTTGGATCACGTATATTTCAACACTTCGATGATGACACATTTTCAGGAAAATATCAAATGTCAGCCTCCCCCAGAACACAGTTCACACAGCCTACTTTCCGTAGCTGCCGACGGGGATGCCCTGTCCGATCAGTCTGCCGCCACCCTGCTGCACAGAGAGCGCGTCCGTGTTGCTCGACTGCTGATTGCCGAAGAGGCCGGTCGACTGGGAGCCCTGGGACGACGCCTGGTTGATGCTGCTCGATCCCAGACCAGAGGCGCTGCCCTGAAAAAGCCATAAACGGTGTTAATAGCTATCAAAAACTTATCTTGTGAAAGCAGGGGTATCACAGTAAATTAAATGAATGTGTCCCGCAACAACTATCAAAAAGTTCATCTACACATATGCTTACCCCGGCGACAGCTGAAGTCTGCTGAGTCTGGGTAGACCCTCCGATGGGAGTGCTCTGCTGTGCCTGGAGCACATTTCCCGCAGCATTTCCAGTGGCCACACCACCGCCAGGGATAATGCCAGCGCTGTGACCGGGCTGAACCAGACCAGCCTGTCCCAGACCAGGCTGGACCAGACCAGCCTGTCCCAGACCGGGCTGGACCAGACCAGCCTGTCCCAGACCAACTTGCCCCTGACGGCCGTGTCCCAAACCGGGGTGAACACCGACCGGGCGGCGACCGCGTCCCGGCTGGTTGTAGACCCGGGTAGCCGCGGCTACCGCCACCAGGCACAAAAGAGCGGCGAACACCTTCATGATGATTCTGAAATAACCATATTACCACTGGTTAGCGAGGGACTGAAAAGACTGCACGCACGTGGGGACAGAGGATCTAAAAAATTTAGATCGAAATATAAAAAGGCAATCAGAAGTAGGTATTTTGAAATGATGTTCATAAAAACTGTAAATTTACAGTCCATCACCAGAGAGGGGCATTGACTGAGTTGAGCTGAGTTTAATTCACACCGCTTCCAACTCACCTGTTTGTTGGGGGTAGACCGACTCTGTGTGTTCTACAGCTGGGATTGATGCAGTCCGACGGGCCCGGCGGCTTTATATATCAGGCCGGCAGACCGGTGTGTGACGTCAGCACCACCGTCGGCTATTGAAGATTTATGGGCCATCAGCTTACACAGGAAAGGATTGGTCATTCTACCTAAACGGGCGGATAACAAAATCATGGAAAAATGCGCCGTCACATTTGAAGGCCCCAGCTTATGAGGAGGACAGCTCACATGTAAACGCTGAGTACTTCCCAGTTTTTCGATTTTGTGCCAAAAATTAAATGTCGCTAGTTAACTAGCCTGACGACGAAGTAGTGTACTTGTTAGTTAATGAATTGTGAGCACGTGTTTTAGGCAATGACCTTATAATGAATGGACCGGGCCTGAGCGCTAATGTTAGCGAGATTATTTTCTAATCCACTATGCTTTATTAATATGTAGGTATGAGAGGTTTGTTTATGTCAGATGATTACGGAGCAAGCGAAGCGAGCGTAGTCTTTCCTTAGATTAACGGAAATTTCTGAGTATGAGCGGCCGGCCGTGCGGACGCTTTTGCGAGGCTTATATCTCAGCAACCACTTGACCGATTTACATGCGGTAATTTTTGTAGGGTAGCTTCATTCCTTCTACCAAGTATTGGACTATTCCCGATGCATGTGGGTGACCCCTTATGCACGTGCCACGTGCAAAACGAAAAGGTGTCAGTTTTGTAATTGTTGCAATATCTCGGTAACTACTTGGCCGATTGCGCTGAAAGTTGGCATGTAGGTAGGCACCCACTAGGCACTGCATATCCATGTGCCAGAGTTGGGGTGCTGCTGCACGTGCGCACGTGCAGGGGTCGTTTCCAGATCTCGAGAACGGCTGGACCGATTGCGCTCAAATTTGGCACACAGTTAGGGACCGGTTAGTAGGGTGCCGTGCACAAGTCAGTTGGGACCCATTTTGCACGTGCGCACGTGCAGGTTGCCGCTTCCAGATCTCGAGAACGGCTGGGCCGATTATGCTCAAATTTGGCACATCGCTAGAGACCGGCTATTAGAGTGCCGTGCACAAGTCAGTTGAAGGTACCCCTTTGCACTTTCGCACGTGCAAGGCCCACCCTCTCGCTCGCTCCGTTAGTCGCCCTTCAAGGCGTTATACTGGTGAATATTGGTTGCAAGTTTAGTTGTTGTTCTGCTCGTGTTAGTTAAATAAAATTACATACCATTAAGTTAAGGCCTTGTGCGAATCCTACCATCTTGAAATGCACCTGCAACGTACACGCAAAACAAAACGATTTGCAGAAAAAAGATGCAATGAAAACAGCGCTTCTGGAGGTTAAGAATCAAGTGCTGAATAAACAGTCTTGGTTTAAATGAACGTTTTTCAGACATTCACCTAGAACTTAATATTTTTCACCACGCACTCGCACCTAATATTGTTCCTCGGGTGATTGATAACTTTCTGACCCATACAGCTATAACAAAAAGCAACGCAACTGGTCTCAGCATGTGTTTATCGCTGTGAAAAGGAAAGTGAAAAAAATCATTCCAACAAGACGTTAATGTCATACTTTTTCACATGATCACAAAGAGCAGCAAAGTTGAAGTAGGTAGAAAGGCAACGTTTAGACCAAGATTCTTACAGATAAGGTTGGGACGCCAGTCACGTGATCCTTTTTCTGCTTTTCCCAACCCTACTCACGATTTTTATAAGCCTTGATTTATTCCTTGCACAGAGGCGTTTGTAGTTGTTTTATATACAAAAACTAATTTAATGATATTTGAAATTAACAAACAGATTTTACTCGTGTTTAGACTACCTTTCATGAAAAGCGGCAATGCAAGGAAAGCCGGAACCATGTTTCAGCCTAAGGCCCATTGCAATGATAAATACTACGGTTGTTGAATTTATGTACTAAAAAGCCGCATCCTATTCAGCACGACTTACCAATACCAATACCAATTTATTCCAGCATATCCGCACATAGTTGCTATTCCTTGCCTTCGGTCAAGCTGTAAAAAGTAGAGGGATAAAAAGTCAAGCACTCCGTTCATACGCACACAAATTGAAGCGGGCATAATAAAAATACAAATTAAACTAAGCATCACATCACCGCAAGGAGTTAAATTCGCGTTATTGATGCATTTTGAAATACCATGACTAAAGGGACGAAAGACCAATGTGTTTTAACTGATGGGAATTAATGACCTCTGCTGGGCTTTTGTTGATGCATACAAGCATGCATATCACTGCACAGTGCACAGCTCTGCAAGCCGATGACTTTTCATGCAGTCTTTTCAGAAGTGTGCTGGAAGTGGCAAAAGTGCCTATCATCAGATTCTCCGGACACATTACTCAGCATCGGACATCACGTCGGATCGCTGGTTCCTCGTGCTGCCGGGCCCGGAAAACCCGCCACACTGGGGAGCCCCTTCCACCGAACTGCAGCCAGCCACCGCCCACGCCGCCGCCCGGGCCGTACGTAATACCTGATCGGGACGGGCCGGGGCAGAGCGCAGACGCCACGTCCGAGGACCAAACCGGTCCGTCAATGATTCGTGGAAGCGGCAGTGGATTGCAGACACAGTGCTGCCGGCGTTACACGCAGTCATGGACACTGGGCAGGTCATTCACATTGTAACATAAGGGGGGGGTGGGGAGGGGGGTTATTAACTTACGCATCTGCAGGCCAATAGGCTATCGATGGCTGGAGAAAATAATATAACACTGTGCTTGCTGTTATGAGTTTGGAGATCCGTAAAATTACATATTTTTTTAGACATGCCGTGCATTCACCTACGCTTTGCTGCAGGCCAATAGGCTGTCGATGGCTGGAGAAAATAATATAACACTGTGCTTGCTGTTATGAGTTTGGAGATCCGTAAAATTAGATATTTTTTTTAGACATGCCGTGCAATTTTTGCAACTTCTTAAGCAAGAACATTAATTTACCTATTTAGGTACTACATCAAATTTCAGGTGCTCCAAACTCAATTTTCGAAAGCACGCGCCAAGTGTAGCTAAAGGTATTTTCTTTTCTTTTATAGCTTTAGCTCGAATGTTTGAATGGACGGATTGACAGAACAGAGCCGGGGCCCACGTTAAGTAGCGCTCGTGGCCTAGACCCCGACCCCTACCGTCCGATCGCGTAATTCCGGGTATCGGGAGAATCTAGATATCAAAGTTAAACGTGCCCCTCAAAGCCGGGCACGACCCGTCCCACTCAACCGACTTCAACTGGCTGCGGCTGCTCCCACCAATCGCAGACCATCCCCGTCAGGAGTCTCAAATATCTCAAATATCGCCGGAGTGACTCGAGCCCAGTCTCTCACTACCGGGAGTCTAACGCTCTACCAACCGAGCAACGGAACAGTTAGATAATATGTAACATCTATACATACATAAGAACAGGTAGTTCTGTGCGTGCCTATATTTGGATTTTATATCTCCTCAACTCCCACGTAATCTCATCCTAATATTAGTCGTAATTTGCAAGCGAAAATAAACTAATTTTCTTATCAAAACGGGGTGAGCTCATTCCACAGAGTCTGGAATATTCCCGTCCTTTACAATTTTTTCCTCTATGAGCTGGTTTGTTGCGAAACGGCCAAAGTTTAAACACATAACCTGACATCGTTCTATGAGATTTCGTTGTGTAGATCGGGATGAGTGTCATGGTGAAGAAGAAACAAAAATCCGCTGATCTGCCGGCCCTTGGTCGTTCCTTACGGAGGAATGACCAAGCATGAGAATCGCCTTATAATCTTGAAGAAAACAAAATTAGCTGATTATGCCTGAAATCTGCATGGACTGCTTGCAGCATAGGCAAAGGCATCCCTTTGTCGAAAAGAGCACATGACATTTTTAAACGATATTTATTTTGTGGTTTTGAAAGATGAAGAAAGAAATGCGATCACCCGGTGTGTGCCTACCTACACGGCAAGTTTGGGCGCCATCGGCCCAGTCGTTGCTGAGTTTTTGTTGGCGGAAAGGTGAACAATTTTATACCTACATACACCTCTGACTGCGGGTCGGTGACACGTGGCGTGACGGTCACCAATACGCATCAAAATTAGCTGAATTTATGAATGAAAGGATGGGGCTATCAAATGTAGCAAGCGCTTATCAATTGATGGAGAGGTTTCCGAGATAGAAACGCGCCACGGGTCCTGGCCACGGGTCCTGGCCGGGCTGGCTCGGGTCGCTCATCCCTGATATTCTTTTTTTACGCACAATAAAAATCGCTGGCTCGCGGTGCACACTTCCTCGCAAATTGTGAATAGATGAGAGAGACCACGAATAAGAGAGATGGAATTATATACCTCCCAACAGATTGCGCTGCTTTTATAGTACCTTCTTCATTCATTCTTGGTAAGGGCCTCACACTTGCTTTAGAACCAGGGAAGCCCAGAGTGGGTAAAAATTCCATATATGTACATCATTCCAGTTACGTTGTACGCGTACATGGCAACAGCACACGCAAGTGGTCCGATTCTTTGACAGTTTTTTATAGGCTATCACACGATCTTCGGCACGTACTTCATCGTTACATAACGCACAGCCCTACTTGAAAAACCGGTTTTGCACGGTTCAGCTTCTCTGAAAGGTGCCGATCGTGCGATTGCCGGCTCACGCTTGCGTAGGAAATCCGTGTTTGCAAACACTTCCAAAGAAATTCTCTCGAGGTTACCGGGAAGCGCGAACGCCGAGGTAGCTGCAGAAATCAAGCTGGCATTAACCCTAATGTCGGTGGCGTGGGGAGAGATATAATTCGGCCAGGGGCAGCCTTTTTGCACTCCTCGAGAAGCGATCTGAATGAAATCAGACAGTACAACTTAGCAGTTCTACATATTTGTGGAAATTCAAAGTTTTATATATTTGGCCCTCAAAATCAACTTTAACAAAAAATTAACCCCTTAGCAATTGATAATGCAAACTGCAGTTCACCATGATAGCAAATGCACGAGCTCATGTGTAATTCGAGGGGCGATGCGGGGTGGGCAGGAAGGAAATGTGTGTGTGAGTCTAATGCAAATGGAAGGTGTGTAACGTGTGCATAAAAGTATGCAAAAGAAAGTGTGATGTGGTAATGTAAATAAATGAAAAAAAGAAGAAAAATATAGCAAAAGCAGGTCGGTTACCAAATGGAAGTGAGCCTTACAGTTCAGGTAGAAATTGGTTCTCTTCACCAGTTAACCAGCACATGAACGGAGAGGGCTCTAGGTATAAGCCCTCTATGTATATTGATGGAGACAAGTAGAAAAACACGGAACAAATAGTGCATGGACGCGTTTCGATTATTAAATCTTCATCAGCATGACATAATCACAGAGAAAACAAGATATAGCACTATCTTGTTTTCTCTGTGATTATGTCATGCTGATGAAGATTTAATAATCGAAACGCGTCCATGCACTATTTGTTCCGTGTTTTTATAAGCCCTCTATATATGCTATCCCGCGCCCTGCTGGGGGGGGGGGGCAGAATCTGCCCCCTCCCGTTTTTCGCCAATAACTTCTAAACACGTTACGCCAGCGAGGTCAAACTTTCAGTACCTTAGCATGCATCAATTTAAGACGTTTCCTGAAACTTGAAGCGAAATCCGTCGTTTTTTTAAGAAAATGACGTTTTAGTGACATCCTGTTCGCCATGTTCGCCTAAACACCGGCAAAATTTCAAACGCCGCGAACTTCTTCATTTTTAAAGGAATCAAGACGTAACAAAAAAGATTATATGATTTTACTTTGTCTATCAAATGGCTATCTCGGTTTTTTGGAAAATTTTGGTTTTTGGCCTAAATCTTAAAAACTGACTTTTGGGAAAATAATAATTACATCCAAAATTTTCAGTGTATCGAAAAAACGGAATATATGTCAGTGAGGTGGTCTATGTGCACCTACATACCAATTTTTAGAAGAATCGGTTCAAAAAGGTGAAGGTTTTCAAAATTTTATGACGTCACGACACACAAATTTATTGAAAAATGTTTTTTTTTTGGAAGTTCTAGACCTCGTACGAAAACAAAAAAATAGCACCATTCGATTTGCAGTGAAAAACTACATCAGATAGACACCTTTTTAGGCCTTAACAACCAACTTCAAAATTTGACCACACTTGACCTGACCTTGACCTGACCTCGACCTGAAATTCATCCAGAGGTGGTCCATTTCACTTATTGAGTGTGCCTATTGAATTAGTTATATGAATAAAATGACCCATAAAACATGTGTCGTACATGCCCTTTTCTATATCTTGTTTTTGCTGACCTGACCTGACCTGACCTGACCTTGACCTTGACCTTTTAATGATATTGTTTGCAACGAATATTGTCTTGGTAGCCTAATAACACGTTTTGGGCAATCAGTCTCAGTCCATTCTTCGGCAACTACGGTGCAAGGCCGATACTGTAGAAACTTGCATTTTGTACCCTTGACCTGACCTTGACCTGACCTCTGACCTACTTGAGCAAAAAAATTGGGCTCGTAAGATCCGTCTTGTTGAGAGCTTTCGATTGCCGTTCTCCCCATCTTTCTACGACCATCGGTTCGGAAGTTAGACAGAGGGGGGGGGGGGCAGAATCTGCCCACCCACCCCAGCAGGGCGCGCATGGCTGAATAGCCCAGCGGGGCGCGGGCTATATAAGTTTTTCTGCAACATATTTTATGTAGACCGATGAAACTACCAACAACGGTTTCTTTGTATGAGCTGACACAGAATACACAGTATACCAAATGCTCTCTCGGATTTTCGAAATTTTGAAAGTTTTGGATATTATGCATATAAAATATCACAAATTGCGTTCTTGTAGTCTTAACCAATACGTTTTTGACGTTTCGACAAAATCAGAAAAAAAAGATAGAAAACATACAGATGAACTATTCAAGAAAGTTTTTGCCTGATAACTTCAAAAATGTTCAAGTTATCCGCTTTTGCATTCTGCCGAGGTCAATTATTCACAATTATCAATAATTCAATAGAATGTTCAGTACGTTTTGAGTATTGTACACCAAAAATAGCACCATCGTGTTTCTGAGCTCCAAAGGCATCTAATAGGGACCCTTTTTGTTGAAAAATTTGAACTTTTTTACGTGACTTTGACCTGGACTTCGCTCTTACCAGCTGAAAATGGCTTCCGACGACACAGACGACACTATTTTCGAGTCCTGCTGAAAAGAAATGAAAGATGTGCCATATGACCCAAACAGGTCTAAAACTTTTCGTGAACATTTGTGGCCTAGCCAAGTGTATAAAATGTGTGTTAAGTGCACAAGCAAGAGTGTACACTGTACAGCATCTTATGAGCACATATTTGTAAGAGCTAGGCCAATTATGAGTTTGATGCGATTTTTTGGTGGCGACCGGAGATCGAATGTGTGAACATGCCTAAATGTTGATAATTGCTACTTTGACTTGACCGGTGTTGGCATCGGTGATCTCGAGGTCAACAAAATTAGGCTTCATTCGACGTTTTTCCAGGGCCACTAAATGCCACTTCAATTTTGAAAATTGAACCAGTAGTTTCGGGGATATGAGGGAAAGCTCTGTATAGACCCCCCTCTCGTCACCCGCGTTGTGAAATTTACCCCAACC